TGAGCCAGGACGTTGACGTCCAGCTCATCAGCGAGTAGCAGCAGCTTCTCAGCCACCATGGCATCCACTCCTTCCTCGTCCATCCTTGGAAAAGCAGCCTTCGCCAGGGCCAGGAGAGCCGTCCGGAAGGCCAGGGGCGATTCGTTGGCGCCCCGATGCCGATCGTGGAACAGCTGCCTGCAGTCCGAAGGCGGCCCATAGACGGCTGACAGCAGCTGCAACGCCAGGTGTAGAGTGGCGCGCTTTTCCCTAGGCGCCGAGGTGAGGGTAGCCAGGGCGTCGTTGTCCAGCATCGCCGGCAGCGCGCGTAGAGCCTCGGCGTCCGTCCAGTTCGCCATCTCTTGATGAGCGATGAACCGCCTCTTGAAGCCGCCCCAGTCTCCGTCTGCGCCTACGAATTCTTTCAGAGGCGGCAGACGCTGCTGTAAGGCGACGTCCGTGGCTGCAGATCGCTCTCCGTCGCTCCCCGCCGATGATACAGTGTGGGCGGGCTGTGAGCATGGCATCGCCGGTCGCTCTGATGTTGACGCGCTGGCCGGTGTTGATGATGTCACGGCTTGTGCTTGGCGCTCAGCAGTCACGTGACGCGGGCCGGCCCCGCCGTCCGCTCGCACTGTAGTGATGGCGGGAAATTTAACCGCGAGCCGCGTCGGGGTGGCGGGAAACGTCGCCGCGCGCCGGCTGCTGTCGTCGACCCGCGCTGCCCCTCCAGCCCCCAGCCGCGTGATCTCCTCCAACGCGGCGGCCGCGGCGTAGAGCAGTTCCGCCAGGCGGGAGTGGGCCAGCCGGAGTCCTTCAGCCGACGCATCCCCCCCCTCTTGTCGTAGCGGCGCGGGCGTACTCGGCCCCGGCTGCTCCGATCCGACCCCGGCCATCTCTGGTGTTGATTCGGCCGCGGCGTCTTCCATCTCCGACTCCCTGGTACGTGTCGTCCCTCGTGTGTCCATCGTTGGACGTTTTACTTCTGACACCAGATGTAGTAAGTATATGGGAGGCTTGACGACAGGATCGGAGGCACACTTGTTTATTACAACAACACAGTAATTACAGGTCACTTGGCTACAGGGATTCACGACAGCTAAGCCCTCTAACCTATACCAATTCCTCCACTACGGGGCTAGGGGAGGCTATCTGTCCCAGCCTGGTTAAGCTGGGATCCCGGCACCCTGAGTCACCAGACCAGCTTAATCTGGGCTCTCGGGGCCACGCCACCGGCTTGCCCTGGTCGGCCCTTATAAGGACAGCGAGCCAGGGGAGCTCTGGGGCCTATTCTAGCAGGTCTTCCGTCTTCTCTGGTTAAAGCTGAGTCCCCACCTCGAGCCCTCGAGCTCATCACCTTTTATAGGACTCGCCCCCGAGGGGGGGCCCGTGGGGGATGCACATTCGGACGTCGGTGCGAGCGCCACCCTTGTGTACGGCCGTAACCCCGCCCCTTGTGTTTGTTGGCCATCCGTGGCCATGCATAATCACACCTCAACATTCGTAGCCATGCGCAATTACACCTCCACATCTGTATAAACACTGTGCCCATCCTTGCTATATAAATACATTTATTCAAGAATATATTTTGGTTTCAAAAATGTATATCATACATACGAAAGACATAGTCAACATTTTTTTTTGTAGGCCCAAAGGCACAGTGCCTACTGTGGCCTATTGGATAATACAACCCTGGTGGGTGGGTGAGTGGGTGGGTTGAGTGAGTGGGTGAGTGAGTGAGTAGGCCCTAGACACAGTGCCTACTGTGGCCTATTGGATAATACAACCCTGGTGGGTGGGTGAGTAGGTGGGTGAGTGAGTGAGTAGGCCCTAGACACAGTGCCTACTGTAGCCTATTGGATAATACAGCCCTGGTGGGTGGGTGGGTGAGTGAGTGAGTCGGCCATAGACACAGTGCCTACTGTGGCCTATTGGATAATACAGCCCTGGTGGGTGGGTGAGTGGGTGGGTGAGTGAGTCGACCATAGACACAGTGCCTACTGTGGCCTATTGGATAATACAGCCCTGGTGGGTGGGTGAGTGGGTGGGTGAGTGAGTGAGTCGGCCCTAGACACAGTGCCTACTGTGGCCTATTGGATAATACAACCCTGGTGGGTGGGTGGGTGAGTGGGTGGGTGAGTCGGCCCTAGACACAGTGCCTACTGTGGCCTATTGGATAATATGGCCCTGGGTCCGCGACGGTCCTCCAGGTGGTCCGCGGGGCTGTGATGCAAATGCAGATGTATTCGTACAATAATGACGTTTTACCTTTTGTTTCGCACATTAATATTTTACTCATGATATTTAATTTAAAAAGGTTAGGTAAACTACCCTGATTAGACGACCTTAAGATCTAAATGTTCCCTATAAAAAACCTGAAAGCTGCGTAAAAAAATGTTCCACTAATATGAATAACTAGTGTTGCTGGTATTTAGATAAAGTGAAAGCGTTTTGTCACCAGGGCTGGGGGAGGCTGGGTGATCAGCGGGCCAAGCAAGTTTGAGAAAGCCTACGTTATTTATTGCTCTGTAGCACTTGGACATGTTTACTAATCTACTTGTGTTATTATTCTGTTTGCCTTTGACTCTTGCCCTGAAATATGGTTATTTTGACAGGTCTGTTGTTTGAGACAAAAGTAACTGAGATGTTGTATAATTTGTCCCGTGGTTTATTTCACTATTGGACAGTGACCAATTCTGGAGGTGAGGTTGAGAATAAACCCCCAAGCGAAACCAACCGGTGACTGGACGTCGCCTCGTGCCCATGGTGTGACTGGTGAGTCTGTGTCCATGGTGGGACTGGTGTGTTTGCAACAATAATTTTGTTTTGAGCTTTTCCCACATGCTCCAATAACTTTCACCTCAATCACGTCTATGGCCCAAGCTATATTTGGCGTGGTGGTGGCTCGTCATGAAAGTTGTATCCATGGATGCGGTAGCGACTGGCACGTCGGCCATCCAAGACGTGGGTTTCTTGGAGCGTCAGGACATCAGTGTCACGTGGGTGTTCATGATGATCGCGAGATGCTCGCACTTCGACCGCGAGAGTCCGTCAATGTTCAGTTGGAGGATCCTCGTCCCAGGGCCGATCTGGCGCGCCGTTGTTGTTTGGCTCTGAAGAGGGCCCCCTTGGCGTGGCTCGTGTTGTTGTTGTCGCTGTGGAGACCGGGAGATCGACCATCGATCTTCGGTCGCCGCGTTTGACGGCATTCGTCGCGATTTCTCACTTAACAACAGAGTGGGACCGCGTGAAGGCTGCCATTCTCCACTCTTTTCACCCCCTCACTCCGTACTCTTTAAATGTCTTCTGGTTTTTTTTAATCGAACGTGTTTACAACCCTCTTTAACACCGCCACTGTGGCTCGGACTGCCATCTTTGAAGAAGCTAGAGAGACGCCTCCACCTGGCTCTCGACAAAAAGCCCATAACGCTTCGGACCAATGCCTTGTACAATACTATTTTTTTATTTTTACTAAGCTATGGAGCTCTATTTCAGAAGCGACCTGGCTATCACAAATGATAGCTCAACGAAATGGCTTATCACGTGGACATGTATATCAGCCAAATACTCAAAACGCGTGATGTTGATTTTAAATGCGGAGGGAAAAACCGGAGGACCCAGAGAAAAATCGACACGACCACGAGGAGAAAGACACGCAAACAGCAGGCGTCTGCGTCGGGATCAAACCTACAACCTCCTGCACACCAGGCGAGGTAGTTCACATCTCGCTACCGTTGTTCCTGAATCCCTCATTCGCCCGAGCTCCCACCCATAACCCGATGGGTCGGGCCTCTACAGAACGTTCAGAGACCAGGGCTCCACCCGCACGCCGCAGCTGGGCCTGCATCGACTTACAACACGGCGCTCCCAGTGGCTGTGGACGCCCTCCGATCGTGACCCACCAACCCCAATGTGAGCAGACAGGCCCTTTGGAGGTTCCCCTGAGTAACAGCATTAAGAGGCATCACGCCACTAAAACTGGCTGTTGTCGATTTATTGAAGACGAGCTTTTTTGTATATTGCAGTAAACCTGAAATATTCAATCGAAAAATTGTTCACCTCATGATTATTAATGAGGGGGGGTTGCCCCATATTGAGTGACGTCACCCGTTAACGGTTATTGGGGAGGGGTGCGGCATGTGGAGTGACGTCATCCGCTCATAATTATTAATGAGGGGAGGGGTGCGGCATGTGGAGTGTACATGCATATTCATGAAGGGGGGGGAGCTCTTTTGTAGTGACGTCACGCACAGATGTAGCACTGCTGCGTAGATTTATTTTTTTACTGTCAATTTCTGTAAAGAAACGTCATATTTGAAGTGACTTTGCATAATAAATTATTTAATTCAGTTCGACCTTTGCGTTAATGTAAAAATCCACCCGCTCATAAATATTAATGACGGGGGTGTGCCTCATGTGGAGTGACGTCACGCGGGGGTGTGCCTCATGTGGAGTGACGTCACGCGGGGAGGTGGGCCTCATGTGGAGTGACGTCGCGCGCAGGGACACGCATTCTTAGCTTATTTTAGTCGTAATGTTAGTTCGACTCCAATAGCCGCCCTAGGTACACTTTGCTGTTTTCCGGCTATGTCCCTTTTGACAGATATCCCCAATGGTTTAGCGAACATATTGTACATGAACTTTGTTGTGCTAATTTATTTGTGTAATTAGGGAGCGGTGGTGCAGTGGTTCGCGCAATGCGATTTCAACTCAGTGACCTGACCTCGATCCCAGCCTAGCCAGTAGTAGTTTCACACCCAAAGCTCCGGACAAATGATTTCCCATTCAATTGCTGCCATCTGTTGGCCACATAACATCGTGAAATTTAGCAGTTTTATAAATCAGTGTGTGGTGCACAAACCGGTGCCTCGAAAGTGCTGGACAATCCTCGCGCATAATCACGCAAGACATATTCCCTCATTTCTAATTGAGTCCACATTATCGAGGCCATATTATTCATGTCATCAATATTATTTACTACCCGTAGCACTGACACAAACGACACACACAGACACATCACGTATTCGTCAAGAATTTATTCTGATGCGGTTTGTCTTTTGCAGACACGGTATCACAGTTGGCACATTTGCTAAATACTTAGCAAGATATCTTCTTGCAGAAATGGTATTTCCAGCGACGATCCCTAAAAAGAAGTAGGAAGACGTCGTTAGTGATCTTTAAATCAAGAGTGGCAGTAGACATCGCCGTCTGTAGATGATGAAGCAGATTGTGATGGAAGACGTCTGTATAATGATGGCAGAGATGCAGGCAGAGATGACAACAACTTTACAATCCAATCTTCATGTTACATCACTTCATTATTCTTTATTTGATAATTTCTTCAGATAATCTCAAGCTACTGTTTCTGTTGTGGTTAATATTTCGACCTGCCTTCTATTATCGGATGTTTGCATAACCCAGGTCTCCCTAAGTCTCAGTCTGCTCTGATTGGTTTTAAATGCACGTTTCATCATGATGATTCATTCATGTTTAAAGTGATGTTCACGTGACAATATACGATGATGCGGCTGCTGCATCAAGTGTGCATTGTGAATATGAACACAATTGAGATGTATCTTAAGGAGGTGACTCGCTGTACTTACTCTTTGCCATTGTCGTGATAACTGGACACACCAGCTAAGAAGTAGGAGTCTGGGACAGTCCAGCTGAACTGCTCATCCCAGTTATTGACGTAGTCAGTCCACAAGCACTCGCTGAAGCAGACATTGCTCTGGGCGCAGCAATTATACTTCCACCTACATCGGGAGGAGACCGCGACTCAGTTCGGTGTCATTATTTGCGAATAAAAGACGATACAGAGTATAGTATGTTAACTGTAAAACGTCACGTGTGTGGGAAGGACTGGACGGCCGAGTTTACTACAACGGGGCAATGCAACCCCGAGCCTCAAATCGGATTCAAAATGCGCAGGGCGTGCCACGTGGTGTCAGTCTCTCTCAAGGAGCCAGTGGTGGAAACTCCACTTTCCTATGGCGGGGGTTAGTCTCCACTTTATCTGCTTCCCACGCTTGGAAACAAAGTTGTCCACAAGAGGTTTATTGGGGGGGAAGGGGGGGGCGTAAATATAAATGTTGTGTCGTTAAAACCCACCACCACCCGACAGCCAATTAGTAATCAAAACGTGACCAGTTAGATTCTAGTTCAGCACACCGGTGTGTTGGACAGTAAACCCACAACATTGTGGTGGCGGGTGTAACGACACATCTATATGTATGCGATCTAACCCAAAACAAACCTCTGTTATGGATAACGTTGGTCGCGAAAGCCCTACTACGTGTCAAACAGAGTCGGACTTGTTTTTATCAACGAGTACGACTTCCCAACTCTTCAATTGATTTCAATTCTGCCAAATACCTCCTGGCCAGGCATCAAAACCAAATAAGCGATTGCGACACTTCCCGGAATGTATGGAGCCGACGCTTTCTAAGCACTTGCCTGCGTCTCTTGCAACGATTGATTGGATTGCAATCAGGAACGGGGGAAGCAGGGGAAGCAATTTCCCCCCTCTGCACTTGACGAGTCGGGGCGTGTTGGGTGAAGCGGCTATGTAGGTCACGTTGCCTGGGTGCACGACTCAGCCTCACATATAGGAAACATCGCCACTGGGGAGACAAAGGCGGCCGAACGTGGTGCTGGCAACCCACCCTCTCGTGTACCGTTCCGGCCTTCATAGGTGCTCGCTAACAGCCCTTACCCCAACAGTCTGGCAAGGCTACACTGGGGGGATCTTTGTTTGCGTACGCGAGTCGAGGTGTGGGAGCTGCGAGTCGAGGTGTGGGAGCTGCGCACCTGCGGTCCTCCTTGCCGTTGTCGTGGTAGCTCTCCATGCCATTCAGAGCCGAGTGGAAAGGGCAGGTGAAGGAGAAGGCCTCGTCGAAGTTGTTGACGTAGTTGCTCTGCGTGCAGGTGACGGTGCGGCTCGTGTCGAAGGTTCCTTTGCAGCGGAAGTCCCAAATCCGGTCTTCCTTGCCGTTGTCGTGAATACTGCGGGGCGACACCGGAGCGCCGCGCCGCGCATCACCCCTCGTGCACTCAATCGATGTTTGTTTATGTAACGTTATTGCATTTGTTTTATTGCACTTATTGCTGTCATTGTTTTATGTTATTGCTGGTGTCATTTTGGGCAACCCCGGGTCACTTCTTGCAAAGCAGCCGATCCCAGTCTTGCGTTGACACCTAGTTAAACCAAATACATTTTAAACTTTAAACCCGCACCGACCAGCGTGGTAAAGTATGGTCAAACAATCCCCACGACCGACACGGCGCGAGAAGGCCTCCACCCAGCAGTGGACTGACAGAGCTGTAAGTTATTCCTTGTTCTCACTGTAACGTGGCTGGTCCGGAGAGGGCATGGGGCAACAACTCACCTCTGCACTTGCGAGATGCTCTGGTGGGAAGGGCAGTTGAAGTTCAGAAGCTGGTCATAGTTGTTCACGTAGCGCGGGTCGGCGTAGGGACCTGGATGAGTTTCCGTGCGGCACATTCACACGAGGGGAGTGTCAGGGGGCGATGTTCAGGCAAACGGAGTTTCGGTTCATAGCGCGTACCGCTACTGTTGCTGTTGGGGTGTGTGGCTGCCAAACCCCTTGTGCAGTATACCACGGACATGAATTAGATACAAAGTTTACAGAAGCTCCTCCTGCTCACAATGAGAAAACGCGGGGGAGTGTTTAAGTGCAGCGGCCGAATACGGACGAGTCCGATGCACCACGCGGCCCCTGTGAGACCGTGCGCTTTGCCCTGCCACTCGTGCGCTTTGCTCTGCGCACAACGCCAGCGGCACTCACCCAGATTGGCGGCGTGAAGCCCGGCGACCAGCGTGGCGAACAGCAACAGCTTCATGGCGACAGGCAAGCAGCTTCTAGAGTCTCTCCCTTTGCTACCCATTTGACGCCTCCTATATAGCGCAGCCCACTCCACACGCCGGGAGCCACGCGCTTACCGTGCGCGTCACAGTCCGCGGGCTGCTGGGACGACCGCCGCCTGCTCGCGTTCCCACGACGGCGTGGGAACGCTCACACGGACGCAAGGCAGCTCTGCCATCAGCCGGCCTTCACCTGGACCTGAACTGATGCCTGATGCATGTGTGGGGGGCGGCGTCCACCCCACCGCCCTCACCGCGTCGATCGGCTCCCGCCGGGCACCCGCCGACCGAGTGATCGCCCCCCCCCCCGCGCGTGCGCCGTGCAGAGTTAGTCCTCACTCGCACACACACTCACGCAGACGCGGCGCACAGCTGTGTGACCGCACCCACACTTGCGAGCGGTTTCCTCTTAACACAAACTGCAGCTAACGCGAGCGCTGCGCGAACACGCGCGCGCCTGCGGGCGATTATATTCTAACACGCGCACACACCACAGCTGACGCTGCAGCAGCTGCGCTAACGCGCCCGCACCTGCAGGCGATTATCTCAACGAGCGCTCGTGCTGCGGCTCTGCCCTCACTCTCGCCGCGCGTCCACCCACGCAGCCGCCACACACAGGAAGCACAGACACCACACCGATGCTCTGTGCTAAGTTTTATTCACGGCGCAAACCCTGCACTGCCCAGAGGGAATATTGTGCGAGCAGAGCCTAGCCTACTGCTACCCAAGTCCCCAAACACTTACACGCCATGTCACGTACCTAGCAGCTGTACTCACGGCGTCGCACAGACGCTGTGAGAGTCGGAGGGAGGATGACGAAAAAACCCGCGCCTATCACTGCCTCGTAGCAGCACTCGCTGAGATCACACGAATGCTGCGAGCGGCTCGAGGAGGCAAGACGGCAGGGGGGGGGGGATCTTGGCGACCAGGCTGTTGAAGAGGTGGTGCTCGGATCCTCCCCTGCTCGCTTAATATTTCCCCCCAGCCCGTCTCCCCGATGTCGTGCGTGACTCATTGCAACTGGCCCGGTAAACCTTTGTGCGCCCATAAATTTTTAAGCCAATTTATGGGCGCCGCAATGTGATTTGTCCTGTGAGGGTCGGCCAATCTCCTGGCACCAGGAAACCGCGGGACTTCCCACCTAGGGACCCTTCGGATGAAAACCCATTGTGCCAGGCGATCCCCCACTGGGACACTACGTGTGTGTGTGCTGCGTGCATGTCAGTGTGCTCAGGGTGGGGGTAGGAAAGAATTGCGGCGCTTGTGGAGTTGCTCCGCGGTTGTGGCACCACACGTGTACATATGCTGAACTTCTTTCGCACCGTTCGTAGCCAACCGTGCTAATCGGAGGTGCGGGGGGAAAGGGACAACAAACTAGCACACAAAAAATGACGGGATCTCACCTCCCGCTTGCTGCATTGCATTGCGATGACTGTAATGCACCGCCAGAAAGAGCTGCCTCTCGACGCTAAGCGTGTCGCCAGCCGCGACTCGTCTACATCTCTAATTGCAACTCCCATGGACATCTGCAGCTGCTACAGCCACAGTGCCTTCTACGAGAATCCTCGGTGTGCAACTTCTTATTATATATCCACGTGTTTCACTGGGTGCATTATGTATGTATGTTGAACGTCTTTCGCACTGTGCATAGCCAACCGAGTGTGATATTGACTGTATAATTGAAAACCGTATCAGTTATAAATTTACAGTGTGTGTGTGTATACGTGTCTTGACGTCTTTGTTATGTATTTGTGTGCCTGAGTGACTTTCATGACGGTGGGCAGGCCTAGATAATGCTAATTGATCGGGAGTCAGAGCCATTCCCTGTTAACCTTGGGGTGCGACAGGGATGTATTCTGGCTCATACATTATTTTTAAATGACTTTGACCATTTTGTTCGATAAGCTTTTTATGGTACCGTGAGAATTTCCATCTGATATAAATTAATATGGGAGGCTGATTGATGCCCGGGTGTGGTTAGGGGATGGCTACCTATTAGTTAACATATGCTGATGATCTGGTAATTGCTGATCACTCTGACAATGAGTTGGATATGCTACGACTTAACCCGGGGCATGCCACAACGATGTTGGGCCTTATTATTAGCCTCACCAAACATTCTACCTCCTCAACTCCCCTTGAGGGAAGAGAGTGGAGAAGTTCCTATACCTGGTCAGTGTGAAAATGGCCAGCTCCGGTTTGGCACCTGAGGTCTCATTCCGAATTTGCCAAGCGGCATTATCTTTTCATCAGCTGCTTAACGTCGTGTGGAAGCTACCTGGCCTATTGCTCCATACGAAGCTCTGGATCTCAGCCACAGTTATTCCCTCCATTCTCTATGCTTGTGTAGTGACATCGGGGATGTCACTCTATGGTGCCGGCCCGGAAGGGTCGTGCCGTTCGATGTTCTTACATCGTGGACAGCGCCGTGTGGGTGGCTGTGTGTAATACCAGCCCTAGTGGGGACAGCGCCGTGTGGGTGGCTGTGTGTAATACCAGCCCTAGTGGGGACAGCGCCGTGTGGGTGGCTGTGTGTAATACCAGCCCTAGCAGGGACAGCGCCGTGTGGGTGGCTGTGTGTAATACCAGCCCTAGCAGGGACAGCGCCGTGTGGGTGGCTGTGTGTAATACCAGCCCTAGTGGGGACAGCGCCGTGTGGGTGGCTGTGTGTAATACCAGCCCTAGCGGGGACAGCACCGTGTGGGTGGCTGTGTGTAATACCAGCCCTAGTGGGGACAGCACCGTGTGGGTGGCTGTGTGTAATACTAGCCCTAGCGGGGACAGCACCGTGTGGGTGGCTGTGTGTAACACCAGCCCTAGCGGGGACAGCCCCGTGTGGGTGGCTGTGTGTAATACCAGCCCTAGCGGGGACAGCGCCGTGTGGGTGGCTGTGTGTAATACCAGCCCTAGCGGGGACAGCGCCGTGTGGGTGGCTGTGTGTAATACCAGCCCTAGCGGGGACAGCGCCGTGTGGGTGTCTGTGTGTAATACCAGCCCTAGTGGGGACAGCGCCGTGTGGGTGGCTGTGTGTAATACCAGCCCTAGCAGGGACAGCGCCGTGTGGGTGGCTGTGTGTAATACCAGCCCTAGTGGGGACAGCGCCGTGTGGGTGGCTGTGTGTAATACCAGCCCTAGCAGGGACAGCGCCGTGTGGGTGGCTGTGTGTAATACCAGCCCTAGCAGGGACAGCGCCGTGTGGGTGGCTGTGTGTAATACCAGCCCTAGCGGGGACAGCGCCGTGTGGGTGGCTGTGTGTAATACCAGCCCTAGCGGGGACAGCGCCGTGTGGGTGGCTGTGTGTAATACCAGCCCTAGCAGGGACAGCGCCGTGTGGGTGGCTGTGTGTAATACCAGCCCTAGCAGGGACAGCGCCGTGTGGGTGGCTGTGTGTAATACCAGCCCTAGCAGGGACAGCGCCGTGTGGGTGGCTGTGTGTAATACCAGCCCTAGCAGGGACAGCACCGTGTGGGTGGCTGTGTGTAATACCAGCCCTAGCAGGGACAGCGCCGTGTGGGTGGCTGTGTGTAATACCAGCCCTAGTGGGGACAGCGCCGTGTGGGTGGCTGTGTGTAATACCAGCCCTAGCACGGACAGCGCCGTGTGGGTGGCTGTGTGTAATACCAGCCCTAGCAGGGACAGCGCCGTGTGGGTGGCTGTGTGTAATACCAGCCCTAGCGGGGACAGCGCCGTGTGGGTGGCTGTGTGTAATACCAGCCCTAGCGGGGACAGCGCCGTGTGGGTAGCTGTGTGTAATACCAGCCCTAGCGGGGACAGCGCCGTGTGGGTGGCTGTGTGTAATACCAGCCCTAGCAGGGACAGCGCCGTGTGGGTGGCTGTGTGTAATACCAGCCCTAGCGGGGACAGCGCCGTGTGGGTGGCTGTGTGTAATACCAGCCCTAGCAGGGACAGCGCCGTGTGGGTGGCTGTGTGTAATACCAGCCCTAGCAGGGACAGCGCCGTGTGGGTGGCTGTGTGTAATACCAGCCCTAGCAGGGACAGCACCGTGTGGGTGGCTGTGTGTAATACCAGCCCTAGCAGGGACAGCGCCGTGTGGGTGGCTGTGTGTAATACCAGCCCTAGCAGGGACAGCACCGTGTGGGTGGCTGTGTGTAATACCAGCCCTAGCAGGGACAGCGCCGTGTGGGTGGCTGTGTGTAATACCAGCCCTAGCAGGGACAGCGCCGTGTGGGTGGCTGTGTGTAATACCAGCCCTAGCGTGGACAGCGCCGTGTGGGTGGCTGTGTGTAATACCAGCCCTAGCGTGGACAGCACCGTGTGGGTGGCTGTGTGTAATACCAGCCCTAGCGTGGACAGCACCGTGTGGGTGGCTGTGTGTAATACCAGCCCTAGCAGGGACAGCGCCGTGTGGGTGGCTGTGTGTAATACCAGCCCTAACGTGGACAGCGCCGTGTGGGTGGCTGTGTGTAATACCAGCCCTAGCGTGGACAGCACCGTGTGGGTGGCTGTGTGTAATACCAGCCCTAGCGTGGACAGCGCCGTGTGAGTGGCTGTGTGTAATACCAGCCCTAGCAGGGACAGCGCCGTGTGGGTGGCTGTGTGTAATACCAGCCCTAGCAGGGACAGCGCCGTGTGGGTGGCTGTGTGTAATACCAGCCCTAGCGGGGCTTGGCGAGCATTGGGATAGTGCGGGCACCATACACAGTGTGTGGTGGGGGCTTTCCCGAGGGGGAGAGTGTCAGCCCAGGGGCAGGGTTGCCCCAGGCCATGGCACTCTGGTTGACCCTGTAAACACGTGATGCCTACACAGGGGGCTCTGGGTGGGGGGATTGGTGGGTGATCACGTGTCTGGAGAGAGCTCTTGAGAAGGTTCGAGAGGGAAGGCGGGCGGGGCCGAGGGCGGAGCGGCTCCGACCAGAGTGGGATATAAGGCGGGTCCATGAGAGGGACCGGGGTCGCTGCATTCTACAAGCTGGAAGCTCAACATCTACAAGCTAGAAGCTCTACGTCTCAAGCTGAAGCTCTCCGTCCTACGAGGCAACCACGTGGTCAGAGATCCGTGTGAGGGATCGACCCTTCGTAGCAATAACTCGCTGTAGTCTGGTAAAGGGGCAGTTACCGCT